AGCCGTGCAACCAATCAATTACACTAGAATATCAGGTAATGTTCCATAGAAAGAAAAATTTTGTAGTAAAAACTTTTAAAATTCACTTTGAGTAAGTAATTCAACAATTACAATGACTCCGAAGAAAACTTCCCGTGGCTAAGAGAAGTCAAGGGATTCGTCTTCCCATAGCCATATGATAGTTGTTTCAGAAAATGAATGTGCTGATGGTAAAATTGGTGTTTTGGAAGCATAATGGAAAAGCGTTAGTTCGTAAACAAGATACTATGAGCCCAAGGGGGTACAATAAACTTTTGTTTGATGAACTACACGTCTTAAACTATTTCCGATACGTCCTTTAAATGGGAATGAGTTGTTTGTTCCTATGAGCACTTTTACGAGGAGCTGAAATAGCCACGAATTATATTGAAAGATGCACGGTTATTTAGAAAACATGTGTGTTACTACGCCAATGAACAGATTTTTAAGATTAGTTCTGCTAAAAAAAAAATGCTTTCTGACAAGATAAATAAGTAGGATTTCATACTAAATTCATTTTGCAAAACAATCAAACCGCTATTTACCATATAGAAAAAAACTGGAAACAATGATGTATATCATACATATAAAAGCTGCTTTAAAATGTCGTCAAGTAGCTAGTCGAATGATTTTCTCGATTTGTGAAACAGTGATTTTTTTCAAAATAAAGTCGACCTTAAAGTGTGAGTTCGATCCCAGGTGTCAGAAAATGAAAATTATCGCAAAGATCTTACGGATGTTTCTTTTTATAATTTTATTACATATTTGAAAATCTTATAAAAGCCTTGTTTTTTTTCATAGTTTTTGCAAGAAAAAAGGTGCCAATGTTAAACGCATGAAAAATCTAGAGAGAATCACTTCCCGTCAAATTTTCAATTGCTTATGTCTCGAAAACAAGCACACGGACCCTTCAATTTTTTCAGCTTTTTTAGTTCCTTTATTCGTATACTTTCGATTTATAAAAGTATTTTAAAGAGCTTGTTATTTTGAAGCCACCGCAAAATGAATTGAACAATGGACGATATGATCGTTACATGTATAATGTTTGCCAGGATACATGAAAGACCTAGTTCAGTTGAACATCCAAGTAAAATGAATATATAATAGATGAATCCTTATTGATGCTTTCCATCCTCTGCTCAGCACCGGTTCATACTTTTAAGGCTTATTTCAGTTTTCATATTTGGTATTATTGATAAACATTGAATCAAAATTGCATGAATAAACATATACAGTAAATGAAATAAAAAATCATTTTTATTGAATATATTTATAAAAAAGGAGATGTGTTATTATTGCCATTGAGACCACTATCCACTAAGCAAAAGTAACTTGTATCGTGTAACCCAGTTCTGAATTTAGACGGGATGTAAGGGTATTTTGCTTTGGCCAATGATTTACCAAAGCAAATACAACATACACTAAGCCAACAATTTATATCTCGCCTAACCCAAATTTCAGAAAATGTGAAAGTTTTCTTGTAGAAGGTATCATGGATAAAAAATATAGTTCGTGTATACCAGCATCATTAAAAGGATCGAGATGTTGGGAAATAAGTCAGAGACAGCAACACAACAACACAAATGTAAAAGATATGCGAGGGCAACATACAGCCTACAACAACAGACGAGTGTCTCTACAGTGTGCCTGATGCAAGTCATACAATTAATTGAGATTCAGATTCAATAGTTTATTGGAATCTCACCATATAAAAAACCCACACAACTTAAACAAGAGTTACAGATTAATCATATATATATATATATATGTATGTGCTATTCTTAAAAGAATAACGAAGCTTCAAGGATTATATAAAATACATATTTACAACAATATACGATAATGTAAAACATGTTAAAAAATAATTAATAATAAAAACACCACTGTTTCTCCTGTTACATCGATATAAAAAAAATATAACAAAAGTACCGAACTCCAAGGCAAAATCAAAAAGGGGAAGTCCATTTAAACTGACAAAATCAAATGCTATCAATCAACGAAACATGTGAAAAACAACTGCCACATTCCTGAATTGGTACAGGCATTTTCCGAAGAAAATGGTGTGTTAAAACTGTAACTAGCTAAACCTTCCATTGGTATGGCAGTTGTTTATATTGTATGTTCGATTACTTTAATCAGTTTTCCAACCTTTTGTAAATAAGTCTAAAATGTTTGTCTTACCATTTCGTACAATGTTTCGATAAGAATTTGCAGATGATTTACATCCACTGTAAACACATATAAGTACTTTTTCTAGACCTCTTTTGCCGCCGTTGTTTAGACAAAGGTAGAAAGGTGTTATTTGGGTAGAAAATTATTGACGTCAAAAACACTTCATGTATTGTGTAGACTACGGAAAATACGAGTGCAGGAGTTTATTGTTTCGTGGAAGAATATGTTAAAAGAATATAAGCTTAGATTATAAATATTTTTTATCGAAAATAAACAGGTATGTTAAAAATGGGAAGAGGTTTTGTGCGCGAAGAGCATGTGACGTATGTCCGGCAAGTTTGGGAAACATATCATTTTTCTTGTATTTTTGATAAGCTTGGTTTAGTCATTGTGACTCCATTAGAAATTTAATAAAAAAACATTGCATAAATAAGTTTGACCACTATATAATAAAATGCAGTTATAACTTTTTTTTTAAATGTTCTAGTGCCCATACATTAACGTATAATTCAATGTCATTTGAATTTAAAACTGTCCGTATTCTTCTTGTATATTGATTTTTTTTTTTACAAATTACGTGAAAAAGTGGACTAAAATTAAAACGTCCCGTTTTTGGTCATATCGTCATACAAAAAAGTATAACAAACATAACGAATTCTAAGGTAAATTCAAAAAGGGGAAGTCTATAAAAACTGACAAAATCAAACCTTATCAATCAACGGAACGAGCGAAAATCAACTGTCGTATTCCTTTCTTGGTACAGGTATTTTCCGAAGAAAATGTTGAGTTAAACCAGGCTTTATAGCTAGCTAAACCTCCAAATTGTATGACAGTGTTGTTTATAGTTATGTTAAATTGACAAAATTTGGTGAGCAACCCAACGGACATAATAGGTTAATTTGACAATAATTGGGATCCAGCATCCAACAATTTGTAAACATTCTGATCTTCGGTCTGATTGTTATCTCTTCGACACGCTCCCCGTTTCCATTCTCTATTCTATACATCACAATTGACTAAAAGATTCAAACAAGACATATAAATAAATCTAACAAAGAAGCCAATAAATAAGGTGTTATAGTTGATAGTAAATTTGACAAAGACGCAAAAAAAAAAAAAAAACTCAACACAATAAACATTGACTTATTGTTGTTTGCCTTAGCTCGGTTCAGGGCGAGAACAAATTAACAATAAATACACAAAGGTAAGGGGTCTACAATATGAAGGGGAGGGGAATTTGGACTGCCAATAAAAAGTTATGGTATGTTGGATAGGGACCAAAGCAATTCCTAGCAACCGTCCACCAACGGACCTCTCAGAGAGTTGTAGCCATGGTTCTTTTACAAGCAGAGATTGTTGCACTCTCTAAATAGTCTTAATAGAAATTATCGTAGATTTGGTATACACACCGTATTCCTTTATCGGCACAAAATATGATAGAATAAGATAAGATAACCCACCCCAACCCAAACCCAACCCACCCACTTAAAAATTTGAAAAGAAAATTAAAACTAGTCTTTGCACAGTAAGAGGGTGAGGAAGAATAAAGGGGAAATAACTGCATTTTCATTTTCAGATGAATTGAAAAAATGTAAAGTAAAGGCGGGCATGATAGTCCTCAAGGAGTTCTTTAAGTTTTTTTTTAAATGAAAAAATTAAAGTAAGAAACGAAACAAAAAGAATTATCATTTGTACATTTCTCCAATGAAAAAACAGAAAAGCCCATATATTTTTTGCATCGAATAGTTTTTTTTTTCGAATTGGAGTTTATGAAAACTTTTTACCGCCATATAGAACTTTTCAAATGTTTGATATAATCTATGCACATTAATGCTGCACACATGGTAATCTACAGCATGCATATTTTTACAAGGAATCCCCCCCAAAAAAAAATTAAAAGAAAAGAAAGTGTAAAACAACAGGCAGGTTTGTCATTGTCGTCCGAGGGGTTAGTTGAACTTGTGAATACATATTTAGTACACATGTTTATTTTCAATATCGATCCTTAATTACAACAATGAATTGCAAAAATAAGAAGATGAAGTATGATTGCCAATGAGACAATTCTCCACCAGAGACCAAATGACATAGAAGTTAACAATTATAGGTCACTATATAGCCTTTAATAATGTCCCGAAATAACAAATGTAAAACAATTCAAACGAGAAACAACGGCCTGATTTAGGTACAAAACAATAAACGAAAAACAAATAGGATATACAGCAACAAACGTCAACCACATGGAGACCAAATGGCCTAGAAATTAACAATAGTAGGTTGCATTTTACCTGTTTGTTAGTAAATTATGCACAACCATTTGTGACATAACAGAGGCGAATTTAGGGGGGGGGATGCCCGGGCCTCCCCCTATGGTGCTACATTTATGGTAAATGCAGACTTTTTACCTGATCCACTCCAAACTTTGCCCCCCCCTTTTCTAAATCCTGGATCCGTATCTGCATCATTTCATAACATGTATCGTGTTCAAATGTTTTTGATATTTCCTTTCTAGCATTTCCAATCGTACACTAATTCGGTGTGGGAGATCTTACTAAAACAATAAAATTGGTGATACGAGATTATTTCATTTCATTTCATTTCGTATCTTGTACATGTAAACAATTTACCCAAAAATAACATTACCATGTACGAAATACTGATATTTTAATAACAATAACCTGAATTAAAATATTTCGTTGCAACAGACCCACACACATACACATATATATGATATCAATGTATATGTCTCCGATTGCAATTAAAAAATGTATTGCATTCTTTTGATTGTACACTTATGTAAAGAAACTTACCCAATTTATTTAAACCTGCAATAAAATAAACTGTAACAACGATGATTGGTATTAAGCTTCCCCTGAAGGAAGAAATGTTTGTTGATTTTAAATACCTTAAATTTCGTACAAGTGGACATGCCTATATATAGTATATTAAAACCGTCGGTCGTGATTTATTTACAAAAGGAAATATAGTAAATGACCCAGGATTTATATTACTGTAACTGTATACACTATAGATATATACTTGCTGCCTTCAATGCCGCAACAAGCATATATTTGAATAACTGTACAGTAGTCTCTGAATAATAAGGTTTATATCATAAAGGTGAACATATAGGGTGGATGTAAGATACAACGACGTACTTAGTCATGGTTTCGTTCACATATGAAATTCGATAAATCAAACGCAAATATTGGGTTGGAGGTTCCGAAGGGGAATGAAATAGAACATCAAAAACTATTTCAGTGGATTGACTTCATTTTTCGCCACTCTTGACTTCTGCTATAATCTAACCGAGATGTCATTTTATCAGGAAAAAAATAAGGGTCTAATAGATGAAAAATGGTCAAACAGCTATCATATCTGTTCCTTGCGAACACAGACGGTTTCTTATTGTCGAGTATCTAGTTGTGAGTTAAGATAGTCAAGTAGTGAGTTACAAAAGTCGAGTTGCGCGTAAAGAAAGTCGAGTTGCGAATTAAAAAAAGTCGAGTTGCGAATTGAAAAAAGTCGAGTTGCAAGGGGAAACGTATAGCCGCCTCTACTTGTTGTGATATATCTCAAGATCTCGACATCCAGAATATCAAGTTATTAAGATATATCGCAACTTTTTCGACAAATATATATCGCAATACCGCGATTTATCGCAGGATTGCGATTTTTGGATCACGCGGAATTTTAAATGATATACTTTTGTCGAAATATCAAAAATCGAGTGAGAAAGAGTCGAGTTGCAAGTTAAGAAAGTCGAGTTGCGGGTTACAAAAGTCGAGGTGTGAGTTACAAAAGTCGAGATGCGAGTTGAAAAAGTATAGTTGGGAGTTAAGAAAGTCTAAAATATTAAAAAAAAAAAAAAAAAAAAAGAAAAGAAAAAAAAAAGATCTTAAGTACCCGAAGAGAACTACCGACCCTCATGAGGAAAACTATCATTCCTAGTCAATTAAATTAGAGTCGATTGCAGCTTGTTTTGCTCCCAACCTCATTAATAATAAATATTTATTCTGTCCTGAGTAAATCAAATATACTCGGACCCTCGTTTGAGTCAAGTTGAAACAAATAATCTAGCTGTCTTTATAATTTAAGTATCATGCATTCTTTTAATTTTGTTGTATCCGAATATACTTTTTAAAAGTATCCATCTTCCAATTAACTGAATATAGTCATTTGAAATGCAAAACATAGCTGCTGAACTAGCTTTTCCAATCCTGAAACTATGTCCTTTATATAAATTAGACCATTGTAATGATAGCTGTAACTGGGGTGTAAAGTACTGCCTGTGAACGGGTGTACCATCCATAATGCAGAATAAAGGACTATTCGGAATGGGCCGCATCTTCAAAATATTCCCTTGCAGCATGCACTCGTATAACTCTGATTTTTAACGTTAGAGTTAGTTTGAAAGAAGACTTCCTAGTGTGGTGTTTGAAGTGATTCATGTATAACAAAACCGCATATGGGTGCTCCCCAGTTTATAAAAATCTTACATATGTGATTTAAACTAATGATATTTTGGGGTAACAGGAAAAGTGAACGGATACCAAACAATAAACCTGAATATCGAATTTTGACATGATACAATGTTTGTCATATTTGAACATTGATTGCCAAGCATCACCAACTGATTGATGTTGTGCTGCTGAATTCTCGTGAGAAGTTCCGTCATTTATCGAAGAATCCAAAGGGTAGAACAAATCATGTATAAAAATATAACTTTTAATTTTCCTGGTTTTAATTTAGGAACCAGACCCAAACGACAAACCTTAAAATATCCAGAAAGGATGATCCTTGAATGGACCAACAACCCGACCCACTATGATCTCTTTTGCATTTTTTCCTTCTAAAAAGACCTTGTTTTCTCTAGCTGATTTAAAATTTCTGCTTAATTTTAATTTTTCATCACCTTCAAAAGTGACATTCGGTCTGTCTTCAAACAGGTTGATTAGACGGCAGAGGCACATAACAAATATGCGTCGCTTAGTCTAAATGACATTAATACATTTAAGAATGCAGACATAATAGAATGTGAGCTGCGTGATAAACTTGTTTATGGTATGACAGCCTTAGTTGGAGACGATAAGCTGGATAAATATAAGAACTACACGAAAAATTACAGTAAGGGGACGACTATTTGATATTCTGGGGAGGGCAGGGGGCAGGAGGTAGGACCCCCTTTTTTTAACGATCAATGCTTTTGAATGGGGACATATGGTTGGAACCCCCCCCCACACTTTTTTTAAAAATGGCTGGATCCGCCCCTGACTGAACTACAGGCTCCTGACTTGGGACAGGCACATAAAGAATATGGCAGGGATAAACATGTTTGTGAGCGCTCAACCCTTCCCTAAACTGGGACAGTGGTGTAACAGTACAACATAAGAACAAACTGTAAAAATCAGTTGCAATTGGATTAACTCAAAAGATCGGTAAGAGACACTTAAAACCACTAACATTAAGACAATAGACACAGAGCACCAAAATAAGAGTATTTGTAGTTACTGCAATCTAATTAAAATATAGAACTCGGATTTCGTTATACTCGTATGTAGTATAACGAAATCCGAGTTCTATATTTTAATTAGATTGCAGTTACTGAAAGCTTGTTCAAAACCAATTACAACAAACAAATAAATCATGCTATCCCAGACTAAAGAATTAATCAGTACACAACCAACGGATTTAGTTATAAACAGTATGAGAAACGCCATGACCTTGTATACCTTGTATACTTATACAATTAAGGTTCTCGAATAGTGGTGGTCCGAAGGTTTTAACCATCGAAATTTTGCAAGGACCGGCACAATTTTGGTATTTTGCAATAGAAATAATACTTAGGACCAGTAGGTTTTCTTCAAGGACCACCAGGGGAAAAAGATTTTGAGAACTCTGCGATATCTTTTATATAGAAAAATAATCAATTTGGTTACTTTAAAAAAAATTATAGCCAAGATGTCCTTTTCGATCATATACCAGACAAATTCTAGTACAGTTTAAGATATTCCTGAAAATCAAATGGTTGGAGCTTTAAGCCGGATTTGTTTATCTAAATCAAGTTAGGAAAGCATGAAGAAAAAATATCTGACATGAACACAGCGATTTCTTACAACCAATTTTCTTTGTTTTTACACTTATTATATAATTACATCAATGCCAAAACAGAACACACTATTACACACAGTCATGTCTACCGAATGAACTGACGTAACTAAATTTTCTAATAAATCATCGTAAACTTCATTTATGTCATCCAACATAAAAAAAATCTGCTATATTCGACGGCAAATTGAATTTTTGTTTAATGGTTTCTTCTACAGAATATCTCCAGATTCATTTTTTTGGACTCTTCACCATGCAGAAGGCGTTCTGGAGATGTACAGAAGAGACCAATAAAACACGCCAGGTCTTGGTTTGCTGCTGATAGTTTCTTTCTTTTATAGTCTTCAAAGTATTTGACATATCCGAATCTATTATATGATCAAATAAATTGCGAAAAAATTCAAAACTAACGGCTCACCTGGATCTATGTACATTTTCAACAATGGCTATTCTCCAACATAAGATTAGAATATAATTCATGACTTAGATCCCTTTTATTGATTTTGTATGATAATTTTTTTTTCACCTTTTATCTACTAAATCTTTTGCCCAAAATACAAAAAAGTGGGTAAAATCGTTGTTCAAGGTCAATTAATTTTATAAGTGGACTTGTTATTTCTGCTTTGCTAACCTATTTGTAGATCTAGTCTTGGTATTTTTGCTGTTTACGATTCTATCTTCTATAGTTTTGCCCAATACATAAAGGATAACAAGCATTCTGAGAGTATAGCATGGCAATACATAGTCCCCTACCGGTTAAAAATTCATTGCACTGGAACAAAATGCTAATTTGATCTATAACTCGTCATGATGTAAACTATATAAGAAATATCAAATCAATATCTTCAAGCATGACGAAAAAAGTGTGGAAAACTGACCATTTGAATGAATTTTCTAAGTCCAAGGACTCTGCAAAGTAATCATCTGAACCGAACAAAATTCGAACTTGATCTGTAAATTGTCATGGTAAAACTATATACCAAATATCAAATCAATACTTTCAAGCAGAACAAAAAAAGTGTGGAAAACTGATTATTTCCATGAATTTTCTAAGTCCAAGGACCATAACTCTGCACAAAATCATAAGACCGAAACAAAATGCAAAATTGATCTGTAACTTGTCATGGTCAAACTTTATACCAAATATCAAATCAATACCTTTAAGCATGACGAAAAAAAGTGCCAAAGCTGATTACTTGTGTAAATATTCGAAGTACAAGGACCATAACTCTGTACAAAATCATCACACCGGAACAAAATTGAAATTGATCTGTAACTGGTCATGATAAAACTATATACCAATTATCAAATCAATATCTTTAAGCATGAAGAAAAGTGTGTGGAAAACTCATTTGCCGGACTGAAGGATGAACAGACAGATGGGCAAACCTAGTCCCCTTCGACTTCATCGGTAGGGGACTCAAAATTGTCAATTCAGGGCAATAACTCCTGTAAGTAGTCAACTTACAATTTCGGCAATGCCAACTCATTTTTATATCCTGCGATGCTCATTATTTTTGGTGGGTACAGTTTTTCTTTATTATAGTTTTTGCATAAAAAGCAAACATTTGTTTTGCATGATGCAAAATCAAGCCTTCTGGGTGTTCCCCAGACCCTTTCTTAAACTGAAAATGCAAGTTCTGTTTTAATAATTTTATGACAATATTTTGGTCTCAAAGCAAAATCACGTTATAGAATCAGTGTAAGACTTAAGTTTCTAGGGACAACATCAAAAGACAAATATGCATGATAAAGCAAAAATGTAATTCACATAGTTAAGTCTGTGGCTGCTGTGTTTTTTTAAACTC